GACACTGCAAGTTGCTAACAAAGTCATGGTCCCAACGTGACATACGAGGAGACCCCGATCTTGCTGTGAACGCTGAAGAAAAATACTCAGGATCTCTGTTGAAATTTGTAATGAACACTCAGCAGTAGAAAGCATACTTCCCCCTAGTTTTTGTCTGTTGGGCAAGCACAGATCCCCTGTTAACAGCCTACTTGGCTATTGCTTCTTTGTTCAGTTCATCTCTAAGAAAGTAACTCATCCATCCCCATCTAGCAGCCCATATTCTGCTTGCAAGAAGCAAGCGGCTCTTCTCCTGGCTGACACTGTTACTTTCAGCGACAACGTCCACGGTCTAAATTACATGACTGGGGAAGGTATCTTTCACACAGTGACCATCCTAACAAGCCAGGGTCTATCTCATCTCACATTTCAGCCTCGTTTCCCCTGTCGATTTGTCTCCACAGGGCCAGCTCTGAAGCATTAGGTCAAGATCACCCCCAAGCCAGAATTCCTTCACAAATTCTATCACTAAGCAGCTAGTGGTGGGACGAGGGAACAAAAGCATCTAGTGGAGGTACCACCTTCCCCTCTGCTGTGTTCTGAATAGGTCCCCTCAATTCTGCATGACCTCCACATCCCCAGATCAGTTTTACTGCTGTTAAGCATCCATAACCTCTACTGATCAAGGCAGAAGCCAACCATGTTTTGCCAAGGACACCTTGACATTTTCATTCCAACACAGACACATACTCCTTTAGCAACTCAGATGAGCTTCAACCTTCTACTTTAAGAAACCAAGCACAAAACGTCCCTGTGCTTCCACATCTGCTTCTACAGACTGTGGATTTTGTTTGATTTTATCATACACTATAATTTAAAACATACCAAAACATTCCTCCTCTTCTTCCTCAATGTTTTCATCTTCATCACCATCTAGTGCAACATTCAACTCTGCGTCAGGAGTTTTCCTGGCTTTATCGGACTCTCTTTCCGTTAGAACACTTGTGGCATCATCATTTTCATTCCAACACAGACACATACTCCTTTAGCAACTCAGATGAGCTTCAACCTTCTACTTTAAGAAACCAAGCACAAAACGTCCCTGTGCTTCCACATCTGCTTCTACAGACTGTGGATTTTGTTTGATTTTATCATACACTATAATTTAAAACATACCAAAACATTCCTCCTCTTCTTCCTCAATGTTTTCATCTTCATCACCATCTAGTGCAACATTCAACTCTGCGTCAGGAGTTTTCCTGGCTTTATCGGACTCTCTTTCAGTTAGAACACTTTTGGCATCATCTACATCTTCTAAAGACTGAGAAATTAGGAGGAGAAAAAAAAAATAAAAAGATGTTTCAGGCCATGAAAGGGTACATAAAATGCATGTCTGAGGCAATACGGTAGCGAGACACATGAGTTTTAATCTACTTTATGCCATAACTTACATCTATTAACACACAGCACAGGAAAGCACAGCGGTCAAACTACTTTGTCAGTAGCATTCAAATTCCAAGAGTCATTTCCTGGGTACCATTACAACAGCTTTTGTTTCATCTTTGCAAAAAGGTCCTTGGAATTGAAGACATTAAGATCTGTTGTTTTATAAAACCAGTGGTTGGGGTTTGTTTGGGTTTTTTTATTTATTTTAAACTAGACGAAGGCACAAGTTTCAGTGAGAAATGACTTCGGAAGCTAGTCACAAAAACCAGAAAGGATGGGATCACAATGTCACATCATACTCATTTCCAAAACGTGGTACCCAGAGGAACACAAGCCCCTTCTACTCAAGTTAGCTTTTTTGACCAAAACCGCATTTATACAAGACAGAAATGCAGCACTGAGAACCATCCAGAAGATACCTGGTCCTTCCCTAGAAGAAAATTCAACTTCCACCCCATCGCTGCCCCGAGACCTTTGACTCTCACTTCCTACTTAGCTGTAAGCGGCACCCTTAACCTTCACATGTGTACAAGTACACAGACACTTGTGACTGCTGTGGTGGAAATGTTCGGTCACTCAACTCAAAATACATATATCACTCTCTGGGGGAATCAAGAAAAAAAGCTAGGGTAAAGAAAAATAAGACTCAACACCTAAGTCTTCTTCTCAGGATATAAAAGTTATACCCATCAAAACACTTCACACGAGGTTTGCAAATCCTGGCTACAGAGCCATTTGACTTACAGCCCAGGATAGCAGCACCTGCAGCACACAAACCTCCCCATCAGCTCAACCCCTTGGACAAGGGTTTGAATGCATGACACTCAGAGCAGATCAGTTTACGAATGATAACCTACACAAACACACTAAGTGGGCAGATCAAGTCCAAGCCAGTATAGTAAAGATGCAGTAGGATGTAAGCGATATTGAAGTCTAACACCAGCAAACTGAATTCTTCAGGTATCCCCACATTCATCTGTCTTCCGTCCACCTTCTGTAAGCAACGCCCTTCTGCTTTATATTGCCTTCCCTCAACTACACAACACCCCACTGTGACACAAGAGCATCATCATTACAAAAAATTAAAAACCAAACCCCTAAGGCACTCACTTTAAGCATCTCCATTTCCAGTTCTTCATCGCTTTCAATGACACAAGAAATATTTTGTTCGTTGTCTGTGGAGCATGCCTCCTAGGAAAAAAATTATTTTCTTATCAAAGTTACTCCTACTTTACCCACAACCTTCCAACCTTCTGTATGTACTATATGCCATTTCTCTGTATGCTTTGACTTCTTACCAAAAATAACTAAGCTTAACATTCCGTTCTGAAGGCTGCCCATTAAAAAAATACCTGAAAAAAGATATTAGAACACACCAAAACCCTGTAGTAAGAGACAAAAGCAGTAGTATCACCAGATGTGTGAAACATTTGGAACATAAGGAAATTATAATGTGATTTAAGAGGCATCAACCCACATTCAGCAGTCACTAGGACTGCTATTTACAGATCCCTTAGAAAAAGATCTGCTTCTTATTCATGACCAAGTGGGAGATGCTCGAATGTGGAATTTGTACCCATACTGCCAAAAATTCCTTGCTAACATATTAGCAACTGAAAGAAGAAAACTCATCAAGCTATCTAGAGCTTCTGTATTCAGTACTAATCCTTTCAGCCACATTACTGAAGAGGAGCTCAGCGCTTGACTACCTCCACACCTATTTTGCAGACTGAATCCTTCTTCCAGCCCACCTTAATGTCCCCTCCGGAACAGAACTTTTTAAAGTCTTGGGGAAAATTAAGGACAAGATCACTTCCTCTGCTGAGCGTCCATGATTAACAAGGGCTTTTCTCATTACCTCAGGCACAGCTTTGTCGACCAATTCTTTTGCAGCCTGACTTTCCAAGATCTGAAGTTCTTGCTCAGTAATGTCTAGTGACATGAAGTCATCTCTCTCTGCTTCGTCCTTAGAGCTGGCTGCTGCCGTTCCATCTTCCACAGCAGCGTTACCTCTCTCTGCTTCTTCTTCATTACCATCTCCCTCCCAGAGGCCAGCTAGTGTAGCATCAGAGCAAATGTTGAAGTCACCTTCAAGTTGTTTAGCAAATTCAGGCATTTCAACTTTTTGTACTTCAGCATTTGCTGACTCTGCCTCAAGATTCGTTGTAGTTGGGCCACAGCTCCTCTCCAGTACAGAAGGGGAACCTGAACCAAACAAAGTGCTTCTTAAGGTATTTACATTCTCCGATATGTCAGCCAGTATTTCTGCAGCCCTAGAAGTTTAAACAAGCAAGTTTAAACCAAAATGATCAAGGCAGTTACTACATACACCTCAGCCCCAAGCAGAACTGAGGATTCTCAAGTAGACTGTTTCTCCAGGTAGACTTTGTCCAAAACTTCACATATAAGTGAACTCATCACTCATATGCAATTGGCATTCCACTGCCATGAGAAGAAAACTAAAATTTCTTTACACTGAATAAAATCTACAAGGACTCTCCACAAACAGTTTGTGGTATTGCCCCCACACTTGTATCAGGTCTCCAGACTTCCAGTAGTTAGTCATGTGAGAGTCCTGCATATTGATAAAAGAAGGTCTTGCTATGCATTTCAACAAGAAACAGGTTCAGCA